TGCGACCGATTGTTAGTAGATTACCAGAAGACAATGGGTATTGGTAATTGAGTAACGATGTTATGGATGGGTAGGAAACCCCACTTACGTGAGAAGAGCGATGAGCTGAGGGGTCTGAGGTAGGATGTGAACGTTATCGAGGTTCATCTCCGTCGAGACAGTCGCGGATGGTTTCTGACTTTCGGAACGATACAAAGGGCCAACACACTGCACTGCGCCTGATGGCTTCTGCAGCTTGGCTGGTTGAGATGCCATTATTTGAGAGCGATTGTTACGTCTAGAACGTAGAAAATGTACGTAGGACGATTTGTAGGGAACCAATTCCGGAAAGGCGACTATGTTGCGGATGTAATGCTTTATAGAGACAAGGGCCTACCTCACCGGTCAGTGCTCCCGACTTTCCTCATGAACACGAACGAGTGGACGCGAGGGGGAGGAGCTCTTATCTCGACGCTCGTCTCTTATGATAAGGGCCAACATGCGCCTCGACCTCACAGCTGTAGGTGCCCGGAAATGAGCCAGGATGCCTGAACGAGTACCTAGGTTGATGCCCGAAAGAGCCCCTCCTTCCCAGCCCCGCCAACGGGATTGGCCAAGGCCCCTCTAAACCTGTCTTCCCCTCTCCCCACGCGGCCGGCGCCGAAGACCTATGATCCTACCATATGCGCAAGAAGGGGCCGCTCGGGCCCTGATAATAGAAACCGGTTCCTGACTCAAAAGAAAATGGATGGGGCTCAAGCTCGCTGGCTTAAACTGTAAGCTCGAACAGGATGAGTAAGTTCTAGTCGTACAGCTATCGTTGCCGCTGTCTGGCAGAACAGCCTGTCTAGGCGAGGCGTAGTGGGGTGTATATATCAAGCAGCACGTGCCGGCTCCCGCCCCAGACACACTGGACGCCCATCAACGCGACTACGGGGTGGCGCAATCCCAAGCGCGAGGCGTGTGGTGACCCTGCTCTCGATTCCGCGACAACTTTACCGGAACATGTTTACCATCTTCGTTTCTCAGTCGTTTTGGCCGGCACGATCAGAATGTTTTCAGCCCCCCTATGAGTTGAACCTGTCTTGTCGCTGCGCCCCTAGCAGATAAGCATCAATTCGTAACCAGAAACCCGGCACACATCGCAACTGCCCATATCTGGGCTCTCCATCGGATATCATCAATAACCCGCTTGCGCAACCCGCTCCGTCAGCAGAACGACAGGCAGCTATCACCCACTACCTACTTTACTGATCGATTCATGTGAAGAATATTGGAAATGGCGACACCCGACGCGACAGGCAGCGTAAGGAAGAAACTTACGACGTACGGAAAGACCTCTCGGAAGTCCTCAAAGCCTGTTTTTTCCCTGAGCGCATCATCTGACCGCACACAAGTTGTTGCGGTACCTCTGGAAGAAGTACATCAACGGTCCACTACTACAGCTGTGGCGAGCAAGGCCACTAAAGACAACGACAAGGCTGCGAGACCATTGATAGGCAGCCAAAGAGCGGATGCATCACCGTCATCCATAACACACCACGATGCGCCCCAAAAGCTGCCTGGTGCAGCTGTGAAATTAGGGAATAAAAAAAGAGCTTCACCAGATACTTACGGAGTTCTCACCCAAGCGCCAACATCTAGTGCGACACGACGGTCAACACGCGTCCCGATGAAGGATACTTCAGCATCTGAACGCCTACTTCAAGTCGAACGAACACAGGCGGCTTCCATCGACAGGAAGGTCCGTCTCATCGACCGATTAGTCGCGCAAGCTATCGACAGTGCCGAACTCGATTCTGAACAGGCCAGTCAACCGTCCGATAGTTTGGAGGGGTATACCGGACAGGCATTGGTGGCAAGCGAAAGCAACAGCACGACACCCAGAAAAAGTCAGGATGATATCCCAAGACTGGGAGCGCAACGAGCGACACCCGACTCGAGAAAACGCAAGGCTAGGGTCACGTATGGTCAGCAGCGGACCATGCGCACCGCAGTCGATGTGATGCACGAAGGAGCTGGAACTGCGAATCGTTCTCACGAGGGGAGCTATAATCGCAATTCCCCACCTCCCGCAAAATTCGCCAAGATGGACTCGTTCTCGCTATACGACGACCCGTCGGACGACGATGTACGACCAACCAAGAACGGTATTCTCAGCCTTCATGCACTGAGACAGGCTGGCGCAAACCATCGTTTTGCAGATGAGTTGAGTGACTTGGCGGAAAGGATAGGATCTCCTAAGTCGCTGCAACCCGCATCGACACGCTCGAGGAGAACTGCAATTTTAGAGCTCGGCGCAAAACTCCAGGACGACAAATTCGTTGGCCGCTTGTGTGATTATGGACCAAAAGAGACATTCTTCCAAGATCTTGCAGCCGAGGAGGATATCATCAATGCGTTCGTCATATTGTCCTCTGCTCTTGTCCTCATGGCATCGTTGTCAGTACCTCATCTCGTCGACCATCTCTTATCGAGTGGTGTGATTCGAATACTGTCCACAATGTTGGCCTTGGACGATGACATCATGGAGATAGCAAGACAAAAGGCGGCCAATCTTTCGAAACGCGGCCTTGCTTCCATGGAAATGTTGCGCGGTACAATATTACAGCTTGGGGTATGGGACGGCTCCGCCCCTGCCGTTTTGTCCCCCAAAAACTCTGGCACTTAAAGTTCTGTGCTTCTGCCACAAGTCATCTGATGCAGAGGCTCGACAGAACTTAATTGAGCCTGTAGTCCCCCACCTGTTTGCCTTTATTAGCAAGAATGATGGCGACTTCTCTCTGGCTACAGTGGACGACCGCATACAGGTTAACATGGCTCTTCTGCTACTGCAAGAGCACTCCGTCGTAGCTATGGAGTCAAAGATGAGCCAACGATGGATTACAGAATACCTTCCCACCGTAGCCTTCTTTTTATCTGGTCTGCTTACATCACCGGGGGACGACTTCCGAGAGTCGAGGTATCTGACTCTCAAGCTTGCCATGAACACAACGAATAACAACCCAATATCGGCCTCCATTTTTGGACATGGTCGTTTGATACGCCAGTTGGCGACTGCAAGCCTCTCGCGCTTCCACGAGCTACACGCAATTGTCGGCCGTGGGGAGTTTCCGACAGATGTTCACAGAACGCTCGTACTGCTGCTAGGGCTGCTAATCAATATTTCTGAGCACTGTCCTGAGAGTCGGCAGTCTCTGGCTGCCGAGATAGACCTCCGGCCCTCATCACTGGATGGGCTCGTAACGGTCTGGTTGGAAAACCGCGAGTTATGTGGTAAAGTATGTATTCACTGCCACCCTTCTTCTGACTGCACAGCTAAGAAAGCGACAGGCCGAAACCGTTGAGCAGACCTCTCTTGCCGTAGCCTATGGCTATCTCGCGATTCTGTTAGGATATCTGTGTCTAGAGACTCATGTGCGCCAACGCCTGACAAGCCAGAGCAACAAGAAAGGACTCAGCTGCCTGCTGGACTCGGTACAAGAATTCATGACCCTCCACGCAAGAGCGGCTGGTGATGATCTCGCCGCTACCTTACAACCCCTTATCAATGAATTACGACTCCTGATGAAGAGAAGTTGAGCAAAGGGTGTTTCTCGTCCTTTGCACCACGACCGCGCATCACTGTATTGCCCATTTTTGCGCCACATATACAGTTTACTTATACACACTTGAGTTCAGCAAGCCAGCTGTCCAGGGATCGGTGTGGGGGATATGGGTCATTGGACAATAAAGTTCCAGGATGAGAGACACATGCAGGGCTTTCGTTGATTTACTGTGCCAGTGATTCGACTCACGTGGGCTACAAGATTCTTATTTGAATCCTCTGCTGCCTCATTCATCTGTCACATATACCCGAATTACCTGCATAATGAAGGCACAGACAACCCATGCAACCCATACAGCCCGGCTCACACTACAGGATTGGCGGATTCGAAGGAGAGATGTCCGATCAGTCCATAGGCATAACATGCCGAAAGCTCGTTCGCTTTGCCACATAAAGCGGCTTGATGTCATCGGATAGTCACGTAATTGACCACCAAGGTTCTATCTCCAAAATTAAGGCAAGTAAGGTACCGAGGTGGTAGCATAGCCCCAAGACAGGCCCTTAACCACCCCCTGCGAGCGATATGACAATTACCCCCCCCCCCCCCAAAAAGACGTGGAAATGGCTGTTCTTATGTTGGGTGTGATTCTGAACGAGACATGTCTACAAGCCTTTATTGAATGAGGTGTGCTGACTAGCCCCTCCGAGGCTGTCTCCCACGACGAACCCCGCCTAGGATGGGCTGCAATTGCCTGCTTATCTTATCAGCCAGCCATTGGATCATGCCTGGACTAGCAGCGCATGTCCCCGCCGTCATGCCCCTCGACCTGCATCATCACCTCTCGCTCACTCCCTGCGAAGCGACTGCGCGATCGGCCTCCGGTGAACAGAACAAGAAACAAAACAACAACACTCGAGACCCCAATATCCAATGCCAGCACCAAAGAACAGAAAAGTTGCCATTGTGGGCAGTCGCTCTGTCGGTGCGTTTTGCTTTCCTGCTCCAATCGCCCTCAATGCGGGCTATAGGACAACAGACTCTTGGTTGCATGCCGCTGGATCTGGGTTAACCTTGGGTTCGCAGGCAAATCTTCCCTGGCCGTGCAATTTGTTGATGGCCACTTCGTCGACAGCTACTATCCGACTATCGAGAATACTTTTAGCAAGACCATCAAGTACAAGGGCCAGGAATTTGCGACGGAAATTGTCGATACCGCCGGTCAAGTATGGCGCCCTCACTGCAGAAGGCCAACCTACCACTTTGCTAGCCAACGCTGACCATAGACCATTCGGTTGCCAGGACGAGTACAGCATTTTGAACTCAAAACACTTTATCGGCATTCATGGATATATGCTCGTATACTCGGTTTCATCTTTGCCTTCTTTCGAGATGGTGCAAGTGATCCGCGACAAGATTCTCAATCACTTGGTATGTGACATAGCTTGACAGTGTCTGTCAGGAGACAACCAAGTACCAAGTACTGCTGTTGACACTTGAGTGATCAGGGAACCGATTCCGTGCCGATCGTTATGGTTGGTAACAAAAGCGATTTGCGCCCAGAGCAGCGACAAGTTAGCGCTGAAGAGGGCAAGAGGGTCTCGGAGCGTATCCAGTGTGGTTGGACCGAGGCCAGCGCTCGATACAACGAAAATGTTGATCAGGCCTTTGAGCTACTGATTGCACAGATCGAGAAAGCCCAGAACCCGAACGAAGCTGCCGAAGCTGGCAAATGTGCATTGATGTAGGAGATGCAGCGAACACACCTAACGACGGTGGAGATGCTCACATATTCTCCCCGTCCACAGCAACTCTTGTTGGCTTTTGGCGTCCTTATAGCTCGCATGTCGCGTCTGAGGATCGGCCTCTAAGCACGAGCATTGTGTTTGTTCTCTGCTCAAAGACCCGTCCACCGGTGCGGTACTCTACCCCTCCGATGGCCAGAGGCATGTCGCGACAAGAGCGCGCGGCCAAGCCGGGGAACGAAACTGGATGACGTTCCATTGTTGCTGAAGGGTCATGCCTCGTCGCCTTATCGCGCCGTTTGGGTCTCTTAGGCGGGCATCGTGCGCGGGGTAGATAAACGCACATGCCAAGTCTGCATCCCTTTATGCATAATCATGCTTTGGAGTCTTTCCTGAAGCTATTTAACTCGTGATTACGGTAGTAAGCCGGTTTGGGAAACATCAAGCCACTCTTTGTGTAGTGTGTCGGCGACAGATGCAGGGCATATTAGGCACAGCAGCCTGATATGCATATGGTTGGTACCCCCGTCAGCGGGACGCGTTTGGCGACTTCGATCAATATCAACATTCATAGGTATTAGCTGTTCTCCTTCAAAGCTACCGCAATATTTCAGCTTGTTCGCCTCCATCGATGCCTTTATGCCATTATTTGTACTTGTTATCCCGCATTTTTATGAACCTACCTCCACAAAACGTCTCGCGTATGCGTGAGTGTGAAGCGTTCAAAGTCATGTATGTATGGCTTGCAGCCAGTTGTGTTGTCGTCTGGAAGACATGGGTGTACTGGCATCGGTTTATGGAGTGTAATTGCTTCCTGAAGGATGCGACGCTGAAACCTTGGCTGGCCGTGAATCAATGTTCCTTTTTGGGTTATCGACCTTGTCATCACAATTCGGGATCAATAGCTTCAGAAGGGGCTAATATGCGACTCTGTATCCAGTGTCTTCCGTGGCGTCGAGACTGGGCAGGCTGGCGGAGATGTTGCCGAAACAAATGGCGAAGCGAGTCTCTAATTTTAGTGAACAACCGCTGAGCGTCATCCCGCTGGCCAACAAAGAGCTGTCACTCCAACAAAAACGACCACTCAAAGACAACGACTTCCCCGAGACTCGCGTTCTCACCCGACAGGCTGCTCAGCGCCAACGACCTCCATACTCTCATTCCTCTCAAGTCAGATGTTAAATCTATCTCGATGCGTTGGGAACAATTAATGTCTGTGTCGCGGCGCCAGACCGAGCCCAAAACCAGGGCGACATCACAAGATAAGACTATGCGTAAAAGACTAGGGGCATGGTGGACTCTATATTTTGCGTGTCGAAGTTCTGAGCTAATGATGACCTCAAGAGAACGAGCCTTGGGAGGCATGCGCACGAAGACTCGATGCCGGACTGGCTCGCCGCCTTGCTCCGTACCAAGGGTGAGATCAAGACTGAAGGTATGCACTCCGGCGTGAACGGCAACACGGAACGATGGGAGTAGAAGAGGCCATCGCTAAAATCACATGGAAGGCGTTGTTCCTGTTCTGAAACAGCTGCTCGAACAAAGCAACACAACCCAATATGCCTACTTGTGCCATGAATCTGTCCAGCACATTTCCAAGCTCAAACTAGAAGGTTGCTAAATCAACCTACACCTATATCGCCTATCGATGTATAAGACTGACTGGCACACCAGGGGGGTTCTGCGGTTATCGTAACATCCAGATGCTCATCTCGTATATTATTGCGACGGGTTTCGAAGGCCAGAAGCACTTTAAAGGAAGGCTTCCTACAATCTTTGAGATACAAGACTTCATCGAGAACGCTTGGGACCGTGGAATTAACGTGCAGGGCCGGATTGAGACAGGTGGTATACGAGGAACTCGCAAGTACATAGGAACAGCGGAAGTATGTCGTCAGTCCCTGGTATGGTCATCTGCATGCTAATGTTTTCCAAGGCACAAGCGTTGTGTACGAGCTTGGCAATACCGTCAGTAATCCGGATATATTGACAGCACTGGCTAACCGTTAAAAAAGCTGCACTGCCCAAGCCTTCTCAAATCAGAAAGCTGGCGAGTCGGAGGCTCGCCTTCTAGAGGCTATTGAGACGTATTTCCAAATGGGTGCGTCGTTAGGTGACTCGAAAGTTGTCTGCACCACTCTGGCACCCGTCTATTTTCAACATGCAGGCAAGTCAACGCTTTTTGCTGTCTGGGGCATGGTCTAATTCGAACGCTCCACAGGACATTCAATGACAATTATTGGATTTGAAAGGCGAGAGCGTGGAACTGCCAATCTTCTGGTATTTGATCCTTCCCATCGCGACACATCAGCTATCCGTCGCTTGATAGGAACTAGCTTTGGACACAAATCACCCGACAGTGCTCTGGAGACCTATCGTCGGGGGCATAGATACCTCCGTCGGTTTCGGGAATACGAGCTTCTCAGGTGAGCTGACATCCGAAGCCGGCCCATCTTCCGGCTGCTGGTTGCTAAGAAAGACGGCCAGGCTTGAAAACCCCATAGCCCAGATCCATCCACGCCAAGAAAATGAAAATACTCCGTAAGGCGAACCGCCTGTGAGGGCCAGAGACGAACGAGCTCTTCTCCTTGTCATTTGGCCACTTGCTGTTCAGAGAACCATTGCTGCAATTTGGACAATGCCAGGCCTCGGTGCGAAATCTTGTTCTTCGCGGCCTTGTCCATTTCTGCGTAGCTGCTATGACTTAGTTATGCACAGCTCAGGTTTGTTAAGGTTCCATACGTCTGGCCATCATATTCGAAAATGGCATCCCAGCCTGGCTCACAACAGTCGAGGTCAGCCGAGTCTGCTTTTAGAGAACTGGGCACCAGGGGCGTGCACTAACCAAAGTCTGGCGGGCCTCTAGGTTGCACAATGGTACCCTGTGACAATATCGTCAGCAGATAGAAGGCACATGTTGCCAGGCGCCCATCTCACTCTTGTGCGGCCTTGAAATAGGGTGGGCTTCTGGCCTGGACCAGGTGAATATGCAAATGTACACACGGCATCGGCCGACTTATCATCGTATGCGACGAGAAGATTATTCAAGCCTTGATGTCCAATCGACTGCATGAACCACTTGCTTGTGGCGTGTCAGTTGGACGCTGCTCGCTTGTTCGACACGCAGAAGAGCAAGTGTACCTACATGTAGGGTCCTGGCAGGTCTCCGAGAGATTTGAAGCATAAACATGTATCCTCCACAAGAACAGGGCCGTTGACCTGTGCATCGAGCGTCAGCAGACGGAAATGGACTGTGGGAACATCATAGGGGCCTTATGCACCATGTCAGCAGCCTTGCGACATTTGGCTTCGGTCACTTCCTCTACTGTCCCTTGCACTTCTTCGAGATCTATTGCTTGACTCCGCACTGTTATGGCCGGCTCGAGAATTGCCTTGACTTCGCGTAGCTTGTTCGCATTGCCAGTGATGAAGTTGACAACAGGAGGGGCTGCCATGACGAGCTGAGCTTAAGTCTGTCGAGCAATGTGTGCGTGCGATTGTTTAGTGTAAGTCTACAAGTCTTTCGTCGATTTTGCTTCATGATTAGAGTGGCACAGAGGTCTGTTCTTGGCGGGAATATGTGGATGGGGGCTGTGGATGGTGGGTCCGCACTGTTAGGTGGGGGTAAAGAGGGGGCCGCCTGTGGTGTTCGTCGTCGTCGAGGTGGTTGTTGTGCGGCTACGTTTCGGACAACAAAAGACTTGTTTGCTTGCAGCAAGTCTCAGGCTGGTGTCCGATCAAGTCGGGGTCCAAAATTGGGGCCAGGCCTCTATGTGACGTATTGAGACATTATCTCTCGAGCTATCGGGCAGATACTTGCTGACCTGGGCGGCTCTCCGTACCTGGTCTTCACTCATGAGAGATCAACCACGACCAACAGCAGGCTGTGATGCTCACACTCATTGCTGATCTTTCTTCCACTGATCCAGCCAACATATAACTCTTTCCACGTTGCTCTCCATCTCCTCGGCCGTGTTACTTGTCAGCTCTACTACGATTTGCTCGTCAAAGCCCTCTCTCGCCTCTGACAATAAGACCTCCATAATCTCCGAGTCTAGGTTCTCTTGCAGTTTGGCCTCCGCATAATTCCTATCGATTTCATGTCAGTGGTTCAAGAGCACCAGTAATGTCAAAATCGAGATTCATCCCTACCTTGCTTTGAGGCGGTCGTAAAGCGTGCTGGAGTCGACGCGGAGAACAACCACTAGGTCAATCCAACTCTCAGGGAAAAGATCGCAGGCGTGCCAGTCGAGAATGAAACCGCCGCCAGGCACCTCATCCTCGAGTGCATCAAGTAACTGATCAAATCCGATCAATAAAACACACTCTGTAAATAGTGACTGCATCAGCAACTTACCTTGTCCTCATCGACAATGGCACATGACCGTTCATCGTCCCAGCCATCCTGGCATTCTTTGTCCTTGACAATTTGATTGATCGCAAGATGTTTCAGGCCCGTCCGTCTTGCAAGTTCTTCGCAGTGTGTCGTCTTGCCAACGCCCGGCGTGCCGGTTACAATAATGTTCGGAGAAGTTCTCGCCATTGAAGAAGGTTGATCTTTGAGTGTACCAAAGCACGAATTTGTTTTTGGCATGCATGTATACTTGGCTGGCCAGGTTGTATTGGTGATTGTAAAAACCTGGAGCAACTGGGTCAGTCTATTCGACTTTTTTTATGAGGCGTCTCGGGATGACCCGCTTTTCGCATGCCCGACCTCTCATTCTCATCGAGACTGTCGCAGCGGCACCAATATCAGGGCCCGTATGCGCCCTCGTTCATATGGTCCGAAATGTCGCTGCAAGATGCAATTGCTACCTTCGAAGCTTCTCATTATCAATGATTGGTATGTGAAATTGCTGGTGTCTTGGGATGGGCAATGTTTGACAATCCTTGTCACGCTGGTCTTGCATCGGATATGCGGGAGAGATCAGTCAGAATGCGTTCCAGAACCGATGTGAGAAGGTTGTTAAAACACTGGCCGGCAGGTTCACGCAGAAGTAACGTGGACGATAGTAAACTCTCTAATTCGAGACCACGACGAAGACGCTGCAGAGGCTCTCTAACGCCAAACCACAGGCATTCGTGATGGCACCTCGTCCCGAACACAAAGCGGTGATATCCTTAATAGCACGAGACGCCCATAGATCCCTCATCCACACGTTGTCGATTATACACGATAACCCCAAATACACGGCATACATGGCGACAGCGTAACACAGAACTTCAGGCGAATTACAGGGTGCAAAGCTCGGCGCATGCTGGCCTGTCCGCAGGAGAGACCTGGGCTGGTAACCTTAAAGGAACCCCAAGCCAAGAGTCGTGGTTGTGCGCATGTCTCAAGCCGAAAGACGCTTGGACGCAAATTCGTGTTCATCCTCATCCACCTCAGCAAGATCGTCATTGTTGCCGAAGCCATCATCATCCGGCCCATATTCGAGCTTTTCCTGTTGTGCGATAGCCTGTGCAGACACGATCTCAGCGAGGCGTTTCAGCCGAGGCGTCTGTAGCCCTGTGTAGGAATATACGTTAGTCATAATAGATCTGGCGAGTTAGGTGGCATTGCAGAATAATATTTAACGTACACGAAGGAGTATAGGTCTCCAGTGCCGTGATCGCCCTGGGTTCCGCGATTTCATACGGGCCGCTGTCATCCATGTCAACAGCTTGAAGCAGCAGCACATCGCTCTTCTCAGTCACACGAGAGGCAACGGCTTTCATGATTTCGCCGTTGATAGGTTGTTCATAATCGGCAACCAGATACTGATTCAGCAACTTTTGAATCTGGTTTGGGGAAAGCCTAGTACGTAGATAGTGAGCCGGGGTTTGCGCGACCAGTGGTTGCGCGCCTGTACTTACATCCAGCAGATATCTTGAATAATCTCAATGTCGTTCAACGTCGCCTTCTTGAGCTGCAAGAGTTTTGTAGCTTGCTGTGTATCCAATTAGAACCGTGCTGCGCGCTGCTGTTGAGTGGAATTGGCGCAAGGGCTTACCATGAGATGTTCCAGCTGAAGGGTGCCTTCGGGCATGTCGTGACTCTTGCACCACTCCTCAATCCGAGTGATGTTGTAGTTGATCTGCAGACCGCGCTTCCACGACAGGAAGTTACGCCGCATAAGGAGGTCATTGAATGCGGTAACGCCAACTAAACGAAGGAGTTCAGTAATGGTCTGTGTGATGATCGAGTCCTCCAGGTAGTAAGCCTTCATCGCCCTAAAGACATTGTTGAGGAGGCTCAGAAGATTGTCCATGCTGTAGGCCGGTGTTGAGTTTGACTGGAGCAGCTTGCCGAGGAAGCGGCTGCTTTCGTTGGTCACAAATCCTGGCAAAGACTGTGACTCGATGATGGCCGGAATTATCATCTTGTGCAACTTCTTCTTGAGCACCTTCATCCATGTGTGGTAGATGTTGAACTCCAAACTCTCCAGATCATGCTTGACGATCTCAAGCAGGCGGTCATACTCGTAATTGTCCGACTTCTGTGCTTCATACCAGTCTTCAGCGAGGAAAACAAAAGACAGCATTTCGTGCACGTTTGAGAGCCAGAAAGCGCCTGGGTTGATCGCCTCATCGCCATCATGCTGCATCACCTCCTGCTGGATCGACTGCATGACATTTGCCAAGAAGCGTTCCGACTCTTTCACAAAGCCGTTGTTCCACATCTCTGAGGTGACTAGGTTGATGAGGTACGACGGGAAAAGGACCTCCTTGTCTGAAGGGGGTGGGTTGGTGTTCGGTGACGGTATCTTGAGGTTGCGGATCAATCCCATCGTAACCTCTTCGTTAAGGCCATCTTCATCAGCCAGAAGAGTTTCGAGCTCCATTTCGATGTTCTCGACACCGGGCATGAAGCCTGCACCGCCGGCATTCTGTCTGTGTGCAATGCTCGTAACCGCCATTGAAACAGGACGCGGGTTGTATGCGGCACTAAAGCGGTCCAACTCGCGAGGCTCAGCACCTGCACTCCTGCGCTTTGGCTTCTTGGAGGACACGAGGTTGATCAAGCCGTTGGCAGCGGGAACAGCAGGTGCCGTACCGTTGCTCACTTCGCCGTTAGCGGGCGCCATCCTCCTAGCAAGCTCCAGTTGATCCTGTAGCTCTGATAGTTGCTGGCGAAGTGACGACTTCTCCTCGTCGATCTGTACGCTTTGCTGCCGCACACTTTCCAGCTCCGTATTGGTCGTACGCAGAGACTCCCTGAGCTCCCTCTCCTCTTCCTGCATACGCTTGATGTTGGCGGTTGACTCTTCGAAACTTTGTTGCAGCTTCTTCATCTCATCCTCCATCGCCTGGAGACGAGCAACTGCGATACCGGCCTGGTTGGCCTCAGTCTGGAGCTCTTTGGTGCGTGTCTCTAGAGCGTTGTGTCGGTTCTTCCAAGCTTTGATCTGCCCCTCATAATTCTCCACTTGTGATACGAGAGTCTTGTTTTGTGCCTTCATGGAGCCCAAGGACTGGGTCAGCTCGACCACCTTGTTCTCAAGCTTGTAGGAGATCTGCTTGAGATCGCGAGCCTCCTCACGAATCTTCTTATACTCATGCCTGGCCAGCTTACCACGCCAAAGGCTCTGAATAAGCGTAACCTTCTTACGGTACTGCCGCCAGGACCGCAGCTGACGTCGCGATCGCCACACGCGTTGAATGAGGACTGCTGCGTTTCCGACTCGTGTCTCCATGATTTCGCGGCGGCGCAGGTAGCCCTTGGCCGCTGCCTGGGCAAGAACCACGTGGCTTCGGATGCGGAGGAATTGCTTTCTCTGTTTCTGGCCCCGCCACACCCGCTGGATCGTCGTTGCGGCCTTGACCGTACGCAGTTGTTGCGCAGTCTTGCGGGCCAAGTACGCCCGGGTGGCCGACTGGAACACAATGATGGCGCTGCGAGCTTCTAGATAACGTTGGCGGTAAAACTTGGCCCGCAAGTTCTTCTGAATCAGGATGGCGCAGTCATTCAACCGACTTGTCCGAAGATTCTCGAGAAAGGCAAGCATGCCGGCACGGAAGAAAATCTTAGTCAGGCCAAGCTGGTACTTGTCCATACCCTTGCCCGAGCTCGTGCCGAGTGCCTTGGTCAGGATGGCGTTGGCCATGTCCCGGATTTCTGACGTCCATTGATCAGAATGCACGAGCATGTAGTATCGCAGCGCAAACTCCTCGTATGTCCAACGTGTCGGATAGCCTGCGCAACTAATGCGAACGGTTTCCAGGACACCACATGCTCGGAGCTGGCTGAGGACCATTGGCCCCTCAAACTTCCATGATTCCTTGGCCTCGTTTGGCTTGATACAGCGGATGTAGTGGACGTCGGTGTTGTTGATGGTATTCATGAGCTCGATCAGGGACGAGCGGAAGATTCCACCCAACGTCGGTTTTCTGTTGACGGCCACGCCAATCTTCCGCCCGGCGGCAGGCTTTACGGCATTGGAGGAGGCAGAAGCTACGTCCTTTTCGCGGACGGCAGAAGCAGCATCAAGAACCTGGCGCAGGAACTGATTGGACGTAGCCCTGAGGACCTCCATATGTTCGTCAGGGACTGTATCCCGGTTCTTCTCAATGAAGCCTTCAGACTCATACGTGACGTCTACAGCATAGTGGCAGATGGTGAATGCCGACTTGCCGAACCGCGGCTTCTTGTAAAACTGATGCTTGTCGGCAGCGTAGTGGTGATGGAGTTTGGTGACAAACTGCTCGTCAGAGCCCATGGGGAGACGGGATTCTTCGTCCAAAAGACCCAGAACACCCATCTTGCCCTCAATGAGGTCGATGCAGGGTTGATTGTCCGAGAAGTCGATAAATGTCCAGTCGATCTCCTCCCTCAGGTATTCTTCTTGCTCTAACTTGAAGACATGCTGGTTAAACTCTTGCTGCAGCTTTTCATTGGCGTAGTTGATGCAAAACTGCTCGAAAGAGTTCTTTGCGAAGTGCTCGAAGCCGTAGATATCAAGCACACCGATGAAAGAAGTTACACGACTCAGAACCTCGTCAGTTGCCAGACCCAGGTTGACAATCTCAACAAGCCAGTCAAAAAGACTTGAATAGATGAATTTGGCGACGGAGTCGCGAACAAACAATTGCTTGGCTTTGGTCAGGTTTGAAGTGATCTTTCTCCCTCGCGTCACAATTGTTTTTTCACGATCCATCGGGCGAATTGCTCCCGTTGACTCCAATATACTGCAAGCTCGATCGAGAGACGGCTCACTCGGGGCCAACACGCTGTCGTTGCGCGATGCGCCAATCTTAACGTTGCCAAGATGTAGCAGGCCGGCAAGTAGCTTGAAGATTTCCGACTGTTGCGCATCCGTAACGCCGATGGTTTTCAGGGAACTTTTGGTCGCTTCGAATTCGGCCTTATCGTCAACCCCATCAATAGTTGGGCAGTTACCCTGGTTCAGGTAGTCGAACTGCTCAATCGGAAGAATGTTGAGCTCTTCGCGCTCCTGTCGGAAGCGCCGGCGACGAGCTGGTAGAAAATGTGGTAATTTCTTTCCTTAAGAGGCTGGAAAACGAGCCTTGACCTTTCAAGCAGATATGTACGGATCTTGGCGCCAATGATATTCGTCTTGTCATCAAACATGATCTCAATGTATTTGCCAAATCGAGATGAGTTGTCATTTCTTGTCGTTTTCGCGTTTCCAAATGCCTCCATGATGGGGTTCGTGGCAAGAATTTGCTCCTCAGTTTCGCTCATCGCCTCGGCGCCCTTCTTGGATCGGGCGCCAGGGTTGTCGGGGGCCTCCCTCGTGGCAAAGTACCGCATGATGTACTTGGCGCTGACGGTTTTACCAGCACCAGATTCACCCGAAACAACGATGGTCTGGTTTTTGGAGCTTCTCAACATGTCCCTAGTTTTGTCAGCCTCGGTGCGCCCTGCGCTCAGCCAGCCTGACGCCAGTGTTCTTGATTGTCGACATGGTCGCTTACATGAAAGCCTCTTCGGCGATGGCGAACAAATGGGGCGCCTGTGTCGCCCTCTGTTTGCCAGCATAAACCTGAACCATTCCCGGAACATAGAGCGAATCCACCCTGGCGAATGGGTTTGTTGCTATCAGAACAATGCCACTGTAGGTGTAGATCTCTTTCTGAGCGTATCGAAGACGAATTGCCTGGAGGACTGAAGGCAGACCATTAGCAAAAGAAACAAGGCGGCGCTGTTCCTGGCGAGGTAGATGTGTATTTACCGGCAGGTTCGTTCAGATGGGACAGATTTGTCAAGTCGTCACTTGCTTCGAGCATGGTCGGGTTCATCAGGGGGGGTAAAGATGAATCGCCGTTCTGCAGGGCTTCGACGGAGACTTCGATTTCTTTTGTCTGTGTCATGGAGTGGTTAACATCAGGGACATATCGTGCAGTGACCGACAGTCCAAATTCTGCAAACGGCACTGCAATGAGTGTCAGGCCTACCTCGCCATTATCGAGCTGGAAAACAAGCTTCGCTTTGGGACCATCAATGGTCTTGCTGGCAACCTCTGAGGCCACCCAGCCCTCGGTGGCATCGGGCTGCCACGCCCTCGTACCGACGTCGTAGTTCTGAGCCATGTCGAACTGTCGACAAAGGGAGATCGTGATCTAGAAAGGCGTCGTCGGTGCTGATGCGAAAAGAAGCGGTCGGGGTCGGGGCCAGAAGCAAGCGAAAGGGGGCGTGGCTCGCTGCTAGGAGAGACTCATCGGCAGGCCCGAGACAGAAGGTAGTGGCCGGCTTCCTGGGGGTAAATCGTGAATGCTATGTATGATTCCGTAGACGGTTTTTGTTGCCTCGTCTGCCAGACAGAGGCATGAAGAAGTCGAATATGTGTCTGGAGCTGTTGCAGCAGGGTCGGATGGGTGGACTACTTTTTGAATCCCAGACCAGGAGACAGGGGGGTTCGATCAGAAGTAGAACGCCCCGACCGCATTGGCACCAGTCACAGCACTGTATGGCGCAGCTGGACGCGTTTCCCGTTGGCGTTGGGGGTGGCTCCCTACTTTTTTGACAGGCACATGCTGGTAGCTTCCACAGTGCACCAGGGGCTCAAGCACTTTCTCTCGGACTCACAAGAAGACCATTTACAATGGATATGTGGATGACACAGTACCGTGAACAACGAGACGAGACGCACTGTGTGTACTGTCTGTGCACGGAGTTCATACACAATCTATTGCATTGGTATGCAGGTGGAAGGTCCAGCTATGTCTCCAGCCTCCCCCCCCCCTTTTTTTTCTTTCCCTTCATTTGATCCATGCATCAGGCCGAGTGGAGTGCCGTCACCGCTTCATGTCCGCCGCACGTCCAGCCAACCCGGCTGCTACAACGTTGGACTTCCTGGCCTGCACCGTTGAAGGTCCAGTATTGCGGAAGATGGATTTCTAGGGAGGTAGGTGCTCTTCAGGGAAGGAGGCTGGCGGTGGGCACGTTCTGCAATTCCTGTATATGTATGTCGTTCCTTTGATAGGCCTCACAAGTGTAATGAGCATCATGCGCGTCCATACCAATCATGTGTCCCGTGGGATTCGAGCGATCTTGTTCAAGCCCTTCGGGACAATAATTTATCATTCAATTAAGGCCTGCTCCTCATTCTGTCACCCATCCCGCAGTACGCACTTGGCCAATGCTTAGTGTCGTAAGGCCTTTGCTGTTAGTTGAAGTCCAGCATCCAGCAGACGTGTCACGCCCAGAAACATCTCTCTGTTTCCATTCCCGGTTGAATGTCAGGTCTGTCCGTTGAATAAAACCCAATCTGCATGTTGAAACATTGAAGGTCGTCGAGGATCGACAACCCCTCAAAAGCCTGGTTTCACAGTCGTAGCCGTCTAGTAAAGAACCCTGGTCAAGATGCGAGCTGCAGGTGCTGACTGTCAGTGATCGAGAACACGATTCTGCTACCTTGAGAGTTGACTCACAGCTCAACGAGTCCAGACCGTCAGAAATCTCCTTAATATCGCTGGCCTTGACGCTGCTGACGTCCGCCATGAGGTAGGCGATCTGAAGAAGGGTTAATCAATGCCTTGAGGTGGTTCGTATTGCGCACTTACATCGCCCCTGCTGTCGGTAATTTGCTTGTCAACGTTGTGGTTTCCAAGGATTTCGTTGACTGAGATGTTTGTAAGTACTTGTACAGCCGATGTGCGCGTAGTCCGGTCCGTACCTTTTCGCAGAACACCTGGAACATTTTGATGGATGTAGATGACCTGCAATGTTTGTCAGACGAGGGGCTTCTCCGCGCGTATGTGTCGCTCGTCATGTTGGCGACAGCCCGGTACGAGTTAATGCGAAGAGTAACTTACACGGGCATGGTCGGGCTCATCTAGTGTGAGGGATCTGAGGTTCACCTCAGGTAGGTTGACACTTCCAAGTGTGATTCCCTGGTTAATATACCTAACCAACGCATCCGCAACTACAAACGGTCAGTGGTGTTGGTGATGGGGTGTAATTCGCGTCGAAAAAAATGACGAGACTTACCTTCGACACCGATCTCCTCTGGGCCTCCTCGGTGCTGCCGCCAATATGCGGCGTCAGAATTATGTTGTTCAACGAACGGATGTCGTCGCCCCAGGTGTTGAGATTGGCATTGAAGTATTCGCCGTTGGCCGCAGGCTCATTGGGGTACACATCCAATGCAGCGCCGGCAATTTTGCCGGTGCCGCATCGCGTTGACCAGCGCGGGAATATCCACAACACTGCCACGGCTAGCATTGATCAAGTACGCGCCCGTCTTCATCTTCTCCAGCTGGTGGGTTGAGATCAAGTTCTTCGTTTCGGGAAGCTCAGGCACGTGTAGAGTAACAAAATCGGCTTCCTCCAGGAGGGCGTCGAGAGTTGGGACCTGTCTGGAAGTACCCATGGCCATAAGGCTTACTACGTCGTAATAAATGACTGTCATGCCCATGGCCTCGGCGAGGACGGACAGTTGTGAGCCAATGTGGCCGTAGCCGACAATACCTTAACGCGGAGAATGTCAGTACGGGCACCGGGCATGGGAAGGGGGCAGAGGACTCCTTGTGGTAACTTACCAAGTGTCTTGCCGCGAATCTCCCAGCATTTCGCGCTCACCTTGTTCCAGAAACCGCGGTGCATCTCGCTTGAGCGGTCGCCCAATTGGCGAGCAAGGGTGATGATTTCTGCAATGACCAACTCGGCAACACTTCGAGAGTTGGCGAACGGAGAGTTGAAGACAGCAATACCATGTTTCGCAGCGAATTCCAGGTCGACCTGGTTAGTGCCGATGCAGAAGCAACCGATGACGAGAAGATGCTTCGCCTCACGCAACACCTTCTCGGTCAACTTTGTCTTGGACCGGATACCAATCACATGAACTTCCCTGATCATATATTAAAACGCGTCCCATTACGATGTGGCAGATGCAGTAAGCGAGCGAGGCCACAGTGGCTTACCGAATCTTCTCGATGAGCTGATCCTCAGGCAGGGAGGTCTTGAGAGCCTCGACTTGATAACCTTGACCCCTGAGAATGTCTTGTCCGGTCTGGTTGACGTTTTCCAACAGCAGGATCTTGATGTCCTGAGTCTCAAAGGGCTTCAAGTGCTTAGGCGCAGGTCGACGCGCCAATCCCTGGCCGCCGAAGCTGGAGGGGGGGGAGTGGAAGGTAGCGGCTGGTGAGGTAGACAGCCCCTGGCTGTGAGAAACTCGGCGAGCAATGGGGAGAGACCCGGCGATGTCCTGAGCTGAGGCCATGGCGGCTGCTGTCGGAGGAGCTGGGCAAGACTTGTCGAAATAAAGATTTCGAACAACGTAAGTCTTTCGAAGAAGCCAACACAAGAGCTGGTCTAGGCAGCGAATGTATGTCCACACAAAGCTACTACAGATGTGGACTGTCGCGCACTGAGTCGGCTGTTAGGCGGTGTACGAGTGCTTAAGATGAACAATTGAGCAGATGAGTGCAGAGTATGAGATGGTGACCTCATCAACGTGAAGGGAAAGATGGCAGTTGGTACTTGTAGTATTGACACATCAACCCGTGGTGGACTACCTATGATTGACTCACCTTCTCTTAGGCTGAAAAAAGTTTTGCCTGGAGCTCCGGCTTAGGATGGCCACACCTTGTAAGGGAGTACCGTCATCCGCTGGCGGACGGAAAGGCAGGGCAGGTCCGCGTGCTGGAAAATGGCGCGAACGCAAGTACATAGGTACGCAACGGAGCCAGCGCGTGGGTCGTCCAATTCGTCCAGCTGCCATTTACGAGTTGATGGGGAGAGGTGCCAATTGGAATGACGGAGGACCCGAGACTGTACCCTAGGTGCTCTCTTGGTACTGAGTACCTCAAGTTTTGGTTTGATGCACTGCGGGCTCACATGTACCGTCGACTGTCACCACGTGCAGGGAGTCGCTGGTGCCCGGGGTCGGAGGAGTGACAAGGTAGAATGGCACAAGGCGGGGAGGCTTCAGACCGCTTGCGGGTGACGTGCTTCGAGTTCTCATCCCTGGCTAGACCTGACTGCCTCCGACAAAGACTCACAGCCCCGTTGCCGTCGCTGTGCTGGAAGGCCCGGAGTTGCTATTTGTGTCAGACCCCGAAGCAGGGGATTGCGACCGACAGTCCAGTGAATCACGAATTTGCGGGAGCCTCAATCCCCGAGCCTATTCTCAATCACCCCTCCCCCACCACAGGAACACAGGAACGAGGGGCTGCAGCCGATTACGGCTGTTGCACGCTGCTGGAGGTCTATTGTTGGGCGACGGATTACATATGCGAATCCACCTAGATCCACAAGCCCAGCTGCTGGAGGTGACATTTAGGATGCAAATGGCGATGTCTTTTGTCAGCAAGCCTGGCCACACCTGCATGCAAGAGAGCAGTTCGCCTCTCAGTATATTAAATGCTTCCAAGAGCACCCGAGCTTTTCTACTGCAGCGTTTGCGCAACTCCACCTCGGACAAGGAGAAAAAAAGAACTGTGTGCGGCAGTGCAAACTTCAAAACGAACCACAGATGTACTCGTAGTCCAGCTGTGCCAGTCCACATTTGGTACAGGACGCACCTGAGACTCAAACTTCAATTACCGTCTATCGCGTCGAAATAAAGCCAGGCAGACAAGCAAACATCTGGTTTTGTCAGGCCATCTGCCATCCTACCGCCCGGCCGGTGTGTCCTGCTGTGCATGTTGCGGACGCACTCGATGGAGTGAAATGATTGCGATCCACTACGAACAGACTCGAGTCGAATCTGGGAAACAGAGGCAATGAGCTACTTCCTGTGCCACTAAGCGTGTGCACAGTGGAGGGTTCGATGAATTTAGCTTTGCTTGCACTCAGCTGCCTCCTGTTTCGGCTTGCCAGTGTCGTCCTGTTTCATGGGTCAGTTTCTCGGTGATGTGGGCAGGGGATTTAGGTGCACGTACATCCTCCTCCGACTCCTCATCGTCGTCGCGATCCTCACTGAGATCGTCGTCTTCATCGTCATCCTCGTCATCATACTCGCCCTCCAGCTCATCGTCGTCCAGCTCCTCAAAAGCAAGTGCCTCGCCAGTAAACCAATCGATGGCGCGAGGAATAAGCTTCTCTTTGATGTCCTCTCCAAGCTGGTAATCAAGTTCGAGACGCTCCTCAATGTCCGAGGCGGCGTCGTCTTGGTCTTCGGTGGGAGCCAGAGGGGGGGTGAAGAAGTTGAAGAACGACTCGGTTGGGACAGTCTTTTTGACGATGCGTGTTTGCTTTGTGTCTACCAATCGTCAGCGGGAATAGGCAGGAGCTAGTTTGCGAGAGCCGGCTTACTCTTGTTTCTCTGCTTCTTGCTTTCAACGCGAACTGTGAGATCTTGACTCTCCTTCCAGTTGATCTTGTCGCCTTCGGCATGGTCGTAGATGAAGTCGCCCCCATACCCACTCTCGTTTTGGTAGTAGTAGGTCTTCGTGATGGTCTTGTTGGTGAAGTAGTTGTTCTCCGCGAATTCGAAAATGAGACGGAATCCGGGCTTGTCAAGGTACTCCATGCGAATGTCGATAAGATGTTTCAGGGCACCCTCATCTCGGTCCGTAATCATTTCCGCCAGGGAGATCTGGTTCTTCATGGGCCGACAGCCAGAACTCGGGAATGCCAGCAACGTCAGATGCTTGGCCCTCCGAGCCCTTCTCCTCCGTCTCCGTCTTGACCGACTCCTCAACTTTCTGCAGGGGGCTCCTTCGCCTGCCTTGACCTCGCTGTCGCTGGGCTCAG